TGTTTTCCAATATATTTTAAATGGTGTTACAAAATTTCTAACCTTTTCTCAGGCTTTTGCCTGAGAATTTGTCTCCCTACTTCTGATCCCTTTGTGGAGGTTCTGCAATGATGCTGGTGCAGAGACATCTACACAGCCACTGTAAAGAGAGAAATTGTAGGCAGCTACTCTTTGCCTCATGTTGTTGGAGAGGATGACAGGTTATAATTGTGAAATCTGACTTGAAAATAAAAACTGTATGGGCTACTGTATTTGAAACCCTGTGTTCCAAAATCCCTTACAAGCAGATATTTTTGCTTAGAAAGTCTTATCAATGTTATTTAGAATTTTAAAGAAAGAGTAATTATTATGTTAATAAAATCAAACCTGTATGTCCCTAGGTGCATTCATTTGACGGTACCAAGGAAGCAGCAGCTGCCTTGATTGATTTGGATCTTTATATAGGGTTTAATGGTTGGTACGTTCTTAGGTTTTTTTTTTATATTAATCAGATTTTTAAAACTGTTTTACAGTGAATTGCTGATAAAGATATTTTTATTAAAGTTTGTGTGTTTTGCATTGATCTTTACCTGAGAATTTCAGTAATTATTTATGCAAGAAATTAACAGTACATTACTATCATAAGTTAAAGCTCAAAAGTTATAGACTACTACCCTGTGTTCTAATAATGGAAAACAATTTTGTGATGAGATCGGCAGGGGGCTTTATCTAGCAATCCAATTTATTCTCAGGTCATTTTATCCCTTTAAAACATATGTGCTCTCAGCATTATATATACATATACACGTGTCATGTCTGACCATGAAAAAAAGGTTTTTCTGTGATAATCATCTTACATACCTCTGTAGGCCAAGAAACCAAGGCTCAAAGAAGTTGAGAAACAGGTGTAAAGTTACTCCAAGTGTGAGAACCTGTGTCCTCTGGCTCCTCACTTGGTGACCTTTCTACCACACTAAACCTCACACACTCAGTACTGTCTGCTAGCACAGCCAGGTCCCTGGGCTTGTTTTCTGTCATATATGTGAGAGCTTCCACCAGTATTTTTTCGTAGAATGTCAATATAGCTTATTAAATAAATTGCAAAATAGTATAAGCTTTGTTTTTCCTCTTCAGTGTTTCAGTCCCTTAAAATTATGACTTTTCTAATTGCATTAATTTTGACTAAAATCTTCTTAGGAAAATAGAATCATGGAATTACTTATTTACTATAGAGTTGAGAGTTTAAATCCCTAGATGCTTCTTTCATATTTAGATTAATGATTTAATATATAAATTAATATGGGAATATGTGCATAGGGATTAAAAAGTCAAGTAATACTAAAAGATTTTATCCCTAAGTCAACTTTTTTAGAAGCAACCACTCTGCTATTTTAGCCATATTTCTAAAAAATATGCGTATGCTATGATCTCAATTTATCCCTTGTCTATTATCATTAATGTATATGTCCATTTTAGTTCTTATATCTCATTCTAACCTCCCCACCTCCATTATTCCCTCCTTATTTCTTTCAATAATAGTTGAGATTTTTGGTTTTATGCATATTCAATATTATGTCTATGTAAATACTGTTGACTGCTGAACCAAATGATATACCATACTTGTGTTTCTTTCCTTGTATCACTTTTTGTTTTCCTGGAGTAACTTTCCTCATGTTTTTATTTACTTGGCTTTCTTCAAAACTTGAATCCCTCTCACACTTTTCCACATCTGTAAAATTTAGCCTTTATCTGTGTTTCCCATGAGGAAACATATCTAGATCTGATAGTTACATTAGTTCCAGATCCTTCCATCTATTTCACTTTGGACTAGTGTCTCTTCTGTGATAGAACTCCTATTTTTAGATTCCATGTATTCCTTTTGTATCTCATCCCATTTGCATTTGCTTTGTCTCTGTGTGTTTACCTTTTTTTTTTTTTTTTTTTT